GTTTATGAAATTTGGTTCTGCACACAAACACACAAATGGTTAAGTACATAAGCAAGTGTGACATGCACAGTATGCACGACATATTCATGACAGGTGATACACAGGAAACCTTGCAAACATGTGCAGGCACTTACACATATGTATCTACAACTGCACATTCACACACACATATATACTTATTCTTATATGTACATTGTCTATTTCTTTGCTATTCATATTAGGCAGAGCATATCCATTCTTCAGATGCCATTACAGTCTAACTCAAAATTCTACTAGTCCACTCTGACTCCTCAGAACACAACAGTTTAAAGATTATTTCTGGCTTCAAGATTTTCAGTTCTCCCAGAAAAGAGACATATATGAACAACTATAAATAAATGTCACTAAGTACAATGACATATATGGAAGTGTGTCCAGAGAAATTTTGATGGATGAAACAAGAGAATGTCAGTCCAGAACAGATCAGTAACAGAAATGTTAAATAATACAAGATACAAAATAGAGGTGGGCCTATTAGTCCTACTTTATTCAGCAGCAATCATGTGACAAGATAGGTATATACCTGAACTTAAGTTTCACAGCCATCGTAATTCCCGTTGATCCATTAACTTTATTCAGTGCTGCTGTGTGGGCTTAATACACCATAAAGAAATGCAGAAAACTTGAAATAAGGAGATAATAGTAATAAGTTCCTAGTATAATTTGCCAGTCATAGGAAGTATCATGAATAATATTTTAATAACATGATACATAGCAGCAACAACCTCCTAGCTTTCTTGCTTCTTTGCTTTCAGGCTGTTCATTAAGATGCTATGGCATTTTTAATGGAAATGGTTTATTTCTATTTCCCTATGATTTTATAAGTGCATTTTTTGTCTTTGTTATGTTCCTTCTTTTTGAAATTGAGTAAAAAAGCAAAGCCATGATATGTCAAATATAAGATCCTATTCTCAATATCCTATTGTTTGAGAAAGGGAGGACTGATGAGCAAAGGGGTCAAGACTGGGCTGGATTAACCCACAGAAACAGCTGACCTGAACAAGGCGGAGCTCTTGGACCCAAGATTAATGGCTGGAAGGACAACATGGGACTGATCCAGACCCCCCTGAATGTAGGTATCAGTGATTAGACCTAGGAAATCTATGGAGCCTTGGGTAATATTTATCCCCGGCATACAAATGGACTCTTGGGAGAGAGTCTTGGCCATGCCCTGGATGAAATGACAGACTCTAGAGATCCTCACCCTCCCTGGGTATCAGAGTGGGGATTGTGAGAGGGGCTGGGGGAACTGTGGTAGGTGCAGGGGAGGAGGGAAGGGAGATTGAGCTGTGATTGATATGTGAAGCAAGCTTGTTTCTAATTTAAATTAAACAAAAGAGAATTTGGGATTGCAAGAATACAGAATTGATCAGAAAAGAAATGGTAAGACAAGAAACTGTCACATTCCAGATACAAATCACAGGACCATGTACTCCCTTGTATTCCACAACATTTCTCAGTATTTGCTATTTGTTCTAATAGACCCATTTTTATGTGCATTGGCCCTGGTGTCACTTCATTTTTAATCCAGCTGAACAGAAAACAAGAAAATGACGAGACAACTTGCAGACTCTGCCAAGAGCCATGGTTATGTCCTGAAAACACTGAACTTTAAATTCATTTCTTTCAGCTTCTAAAAAGCCCTATTTTATGCTTGCTAATTTTATTTATTTTCTTCCAAATAAATTAGTAAATCTGATCTCCGTATTTTAACAGAATATTACTATTAAACTCAAACTAAGAGATATTAAGTTCTTTCAAACAATTCAATCTAGTGATAACTCTAATTTTCTTGGTGAGATAATGTTCATGACTCAGATGGCATGAATAGTAATTTATATCACACAACATACTGTAAGTGACACTCTTTGTCTTCACACAGTTTCAAATTTCAATATATATATTATCATTCTTTCATAAATAAATACTGAATTTTTTGATTTAACAAAGTCATTCTTTTCATAGAGTGTTAACACAAAGCAATATCATACTTGAAAACTGCATAAAAGGCAACAGAAATTCTAAGTCCATGTCAAGTTATATACTTCCAATTTTAAGATCATATCGGTAAATTTATTATATCATTACTTTTCGTAAATCCTTGAATCTTATTATGGCATTTTAGGATAATTTATATCTGAATATCATAAGAATCATGAAAATTTCACTCAAAATAAGTTCCATTGTACATCAAAATTCATGTTTATATTTTTGTCACTAATCCATTAGAATATTATGATTTAATCCAGAGATAACAGAAGGGCAAGAAATGGCACCTTATACAATGCATGTGTGATTTAATAGTTTTACTTGATAACTCTTTTTTGCCTCATTTAAATCAAATTGAATTGAATGAGTATTTATTCAGCATTCATTCATTTTCAAAGATGAGTAATACACAGTTATTAGCCTCTAGGAAAATAGCCTACTGTGGACAAAAAGATAAAAACAAATTGATTTTTGTAAGTGAATTCAGTTTTCCCCCAAGTTGCTATGGTGAGGTGTGATAGAGGCTTGTCACATAGAAAGAGAAGAATTTCTAAATGCTTATGAAAAGAGATCACATTTATGGTAAATCTTGAGGTATTTGGATGATTGTCAATTTTACCTACTTATGAAACATTTTTGTGATCATCCATACCACTTACTTTGCTCTGACAATAGCACACTTACCTATTACTACTTTCTATGACTCTTGCAAAACATTTTTTTCACTCCTCAATTTCTTGGTTCAGTATACAAATGGGAATATTCTTTTGTATGTCTGCCAGGAGTGTAATTAAGGGAAGCTTCTCTCTGTCTTATTTTGAAGTTCTATTTTAAAAGCAATGCTTAGAGGATCTATTAAATAAATTATGACACACCCAAAGATCATCTAATGCAAATCATTAACAAAGAGGAAATGGACACTGTTGATTTAGATGGAGAACTACAACTAAAAGGGGAAAAAACTCAGAATTGTCGAGCCAGTATGAAAGCACCATTCACCTTTATTGTTGTTTTTAGACATGATAAAAAAATTAAAATAAATAAATGTTAGTAAGCTAACTTTTGAGGAAATGTCACTTCACATACAGTATAATTCTTTATTTTATATTTTAATAAGTCACATAACATGGGTTTATATTAGAGGTGCAAAGTATATATCATCTATTTTACAAAAAATAGATTTATTAAAATGTAGTTTAGTAATATCAAATACTAAATAAAAACATAACAATTGCTTTTTGTGTTCACAGAAAGAATTGGTTTTTAAATAAATTATGCTTTGTAATAATTCAGAAATGTCAATACTTAGAGATTCTTAATGATTCAATTATCTATAAGCATAAATGGTTTTTTATAGCTGGAATTGAATGTACATGCTAGGGAAATAATCGACTACTGAGTTCCAGTATCAATTCCATCTCTAGAGTAGTAAAATTCCAGTGAAGTTATAATTTGAAACTTCACATCAATCCAGAATTTTTAATTTCTTAGAATTAAACTCTAAAAGTAGCTTGTAGTCAACAAGCAGAAAGGCTCATGGTTTTTCTTTTTTCAATATGTCAATAACTTCAGCAATAGAACTTAAAGATGAAAGCCAATGAGTGTAAAAATACATATCTGTTTACAATATGCTTGGTATCAGATACCAAATTTTCAATGAGAAACACAACAGACAACATGTATAAAGTCTGAGTGGCATCATTAAGTTTTGACTATTCATTAGAAAACAATGCAATGATTCCTTACAAGGACACCTGTAGTAGAGACCTGCATACAACAATTAAGAAAAGAAAGCTCTGGACTTCTGTATCTGTAACCAGACTCCTACAGCATAGCTTGCTTATGGTATTCTCCCATCAACTCTTCAGATGGCCCTGCCAGGAGTTCCAGGATCAGCATCTCTGTTATTCATTCAAAGAACCAGCAAAGTATTTATATGGGGGCTTAAGGAGTTATTTCAGAGCGCCCCCAACATCTTTCTGTTTTTTGTTGTTTTTTTTTTTGTTGTTGTTGTTTTTACCATACATGATATTACCACATGTACTTTACAGTTGGGGAAACATCATCCTACAGGCCATGATTTGGTGGCCACAAATCTTGGCAAGTGAGTAAATTTCTCCCCAACAATGTAACAAAGTTAAGAAATCATTAACCCAGCCCTGAATTAATGCTGCCTACCTTCCCATCTTTACAGGAACATTGTGACCCCTAGTGCACTGTTAACTTTTATGTCATTGTTTTGGTTTTATCCAAGGTCTCTGATCTGTACTGTTCTGCTCTTTTAGTCATGAAGCAGTCTGTCCTGAATTAGAAAAGAGGTTCGACAATGTGGGAGTGGGGGTTGACCTACATCTGGGAAATCTGCATATGATTCACCACAATTAACCAATTTGGTTCGAAACAGCTACAATTAAGTTATTATCAGAGAAGTATTTACTAGACTAGAAACTCTAAATTTATCTTCATGTAAGCCCTAAACAAGGAAAGGGCTGTATTTCAGTCCTCTTAAGCACAGTAAATAATGAAGAAAATTCCTCTAAATTGTTCACAACTAGCTTCTGTGTATTGTATGTTTGGGCTAGTTCCTTAATATGGTTAGGTATAGAATAGCAAGTAAATATAAAATATTTTACACAAGAGATACTCAACAACTGTGTCTGTTTGTCTGCCTATGAAGGTTCCTGATGTATGGAAATTATATATAGTATGCCAGGTTACTACAAAATCATGGAGAATGTAATAAAAGAAATGTCTACATATACAAAAAAGAATGATGTTTGTAATAAAACAAACAAATGTAATAGAAAATTTCCAAAATTATAAACACCAATTGTGATGAATTCAAGTTTAGCAATTAAGTAGAGATAACACATGCCACCAACAACAGGCAGTATCAATCCAAATATCTAATAATGATGGCACATTTTGAAACAACTAAAACAAATTTATAATTTTAAAACAGATTTTCCTACCTTTATAGTTGAGTACATGCTTTCTGTGTGACCATTAAGGGTAACCTGGGGAAGAAATGGAAAACAGATGACACGGGGTAAATGTAAGGGTTAGCTAGCTTTAGAGTCATTATCAACATTTAACATTAATACTCAACAAGCTGGTTAACTATACACTTTCTCAAGGCATCCAATGTTCTCACTTCATATGCTCATGAGACTGACAAAAGGGGAAGGCACATTATAACAAAAGTATCCCATGCTGATTGGGTTTGTTTGTGATTCATAGGGAATATGTAACCACTAAGACTCTTAGCTGTTCATCACTACTAGTCAATTTAGTAACTTTATTCTTCACATCTTGGAGAGATGAGAAGCAAAAAGGAAAATCATACAGTATTGACAAAATGAAGCACAACAGCTACACAATAACAAAATTTTAAAAACTAAGTTTCTCTAGAATTTGGGCTCCATCTCTCCCAGGATGGCTCTCCGGGCAAGATCATTTGTTCTTGCAGAAAGTCCATGTTCAGTTCTCACCACACCACAGAGTGGTTCCAGATTATTTATAAGTTCAGTTCCAGGAGATCTGACGCCCTGTTCAGCTCTCTCTGGGCAGCACACACAGATGGTATACATGTATATATGTAGGCAAAACACACATACATATAAAACAAAATAAATCTACAAAATTAAATTAACTACAGACTTACATAACATCTTACATTACTAAAAATATAGGTGCTAAGAGAACAGCTAATTCTTTGGATATGGTTAAATTTCTGCCAAGGGAGACATGCATCCTGCATTTTTGAGGCTGCACAGAGATTCTATCTGGCATAGGGACTGTCATCAGGAAACTCTTGTGTCTTTCATGAAGGCAGGTACTCGTAGACCTGAAAGTAATTGAAAACTCAGCTGTTGACAGATAATCAAAGCAGTCTCTTAGCTTGCTCAGGGCAGGACTCAGGGTAGCCTTTTAATTTCCTGGTTTCATAATCATTCCACAGTACTGAGTCATTAAATTCCTTGTACCTCCCAAGACTGGCAAGACACAGAGAGAGTGGAATCGGGAATTCTGCTCCTGAGAACTTTATATTCAGGCTGGATTTGGGGATCCCTGTCAGCAGTGTTTACTGCATGGGATTCCTTAAAAATCTTCTCCATTGTGAAGAGATATACCAATGGATCAGCCATCAGAATTTTGGTCATAACTTCTTAGAAACCAAGGAGAGAAAGTCAGGGAACAAGCATGTATAAAAAATGTGCCAAAAGTTGCCAAAACTAGTTAATGACATAACTAGTTGGATGTGCAAAGAAACTATACAAAAGTTCTTGACATAAATTTTGTTTCCTGGGCTGACTTCAAACATACAAAGAAAGGTAGCATTTGTTCTTAACGTGTTCTTCGTTCTAAATTGATATAGAGTTTGAAGGCAATATTGGAATGACCACTTTGGTCTCTGGCTCATGCTTACCCACTTATTATGCAAATACAAAAACATCTGTGAAACATAAATAGTAATATAGTTTGCTAACAATTCACAAATTATTTATTGCAATAGTAATGCTCCTGAAATAATTCGTGAACAATTTTGGTTTCCTAAGAAACACTGTGTTCTCAGTGTGAGAAGACTATCTAGACCTAGAATTACAAGAGTCTGAGAATAGAGCTCACATCCTGTGAGAAAGTGTTTGTGCTGTAATCCCAGGAACTGCTAGGGTGGGTCTCATAGGTGTTTCACAGTATAAATGACATACATCTGTGGTGCCGCACACCTTTAATCCCAGCACTTGGGAGGCAGAGGCACGTTGATCTCTGTGAGTTTGAGACCAAGCCTGGTCTACTGAGCGAGTTCCAGGACAGCCTCCAAAACAATACAGAGAAACCCTGTCTCAAAAAAACCAAAAAAAAAAAAAGACATACATCCCCCTCTCTAGTTCATGTTTCTTTTACAAAATACAAAATACTTGGCAAGTTGAAAAGCCATATCAGACATAAGAAGAAACATTCAATGAAATACTTAAATAAGAGATGTAAGCAATGTAAGAGTTTACATGCTTGTAGTTGAGAGGGTAGTGTCTCTAATGACACCACACACTGTTTAATAGTAAGATAAACTTGCCAGATTACATTATGACATTTTTTCATTTTTTTCCCTTGAATCATTAAGAAAGAATGTTGGCACACAAGGTTTAAGTAACTGAAGCCAACCACTTTTAGGTGAAATAAAGTGACACAAAGAATCATGAAGGAGTATGTTTTGTGAAACACCAGTAATAGACAATTTCTAAAATGTACACTAAATTTTTATAATAAATTAAATGTATAATATAAAATGTTTTATACTAAATAAAATAAAACATGATTTCAGAACTTACATTTTATAGATATAAAATATTACAAATGTGTATTTATACACTCTTGTGCACAGAAATTATGCTTATATTATCAAATACACTTAACACTGGAATACATCCTTCTAATATGTTATCCAGTTTATGTTCTTGAATACTTTTTGACTTTAGAGAAGAGTTTTACTTTCTCTTATCTCCAGAATGGAGGTCATGATAAATAAGCACACCCATACCTTTCAAAGTGGGATGAGTGTTGCAAATGACGAGTGCATCTTCGTGACCATCCTCTGACTTTGGGTACCACAATTACACACATTAGTAAACATTAATACATGGCATTTCTACTTCACAGATTTTTATGTTGAAAGAATATGCAAAGCTCAGGGACGGTGAAGAGGAGATAAGTCATTAGACATTTAAAAATTTTAAAACATAAATTACCTAAAGACTGTTCACCTCTCATCTTCTGATGAGAACATTCACTAAGATATCATGAAAAAACATGTTCATCACTTTCTATGTATCAAAAGAAGCTTTGCAAAGAGACTTTAGCACTTCACTCAATGTGTTCCAGATCCCATTTCTTTTGTTTCTTTCTTCCTTTTCTTTTTTTTTTTTTTTTTTTTTTTTTTTACTTTTCGAGAAAGGGTTTCCTCACCTCTGCTTCCTGAGTGCTGGGATTAAAGGCCTGTGCACTACCACCCAACTTCAGTTCTTTTGTCACTATGAGAAGTCACAATTCCACCCTTTCTTCCCCAAAGTATGTCTGAACAAGCAGGTTTGGATTGCATGCTCTCCGCACCTCTGAGAGAAGCTTGCTCTTCATAATGACATGCTGGGAGTTATGATTAATATTCCCAGAATTTATGGAGATCCATGTGTTAAAATTAGCTTCATCTGCAAACTGACTTAGGAACTTCGACTGCTTAGGTAATATCTTTGACTTTACAGGTAAGAAATATTAGCACCTATGTTAGCACATTTTGAATAAAATGCAATTCTATTATTACAGTTTATGTTCTCTTCACTTTCATTAAGGCTTAGTTTTATATTGTAGAAATAATACTGAAAACCTTCCCATCCATTTAGTTTTAAGACTCATCTTCCAAACCTTCTCTAGGATTCAATTCAAGTAGTATCTGCTAGCAGGGTGTGCTTCACTTAAAAATGCATTTTCTTTACATAATCAACAAAGAAGAGGAGTTATTTTCCATTATTAACCAAGTGGATTATTTTACACACACATACACACATACACACACACACACACACACATCTCCAAGCCCCTTCCTTTCATAACCCATTTCCATTTATGTGATTTGAATTCTACACTGTGCATCCAAGGATGGGACTCTGGATTATTGCTATTCCCTTAACTAGGCATCTGTAATTACACCAGGGTACCATGATTTACTTAATAGCATACAGCTCACCACCACTGGAAGGTGTATGGACAGAAGTTTGACAATATTACTATGTAACCATTTCCACTTCTCTTCTTAACAATAGCGGCAGGGTTTAAATAATTATTAGAACAGGTGCCTTTCCAAAAGCTGGAGCTTCTTGCCTGGTGATGGAATGGTTTAGAAATACATTGGCTCCAACAGTAACTTCATGTCTAAGGATTTGAAAAGGCCTTTCCCCACAAAGGAGGGATTTGCACAGATGGATCTCACTTGATCATATCTTTTTGCAAGTGACAGCTGGAACATGACCAGTAGGATGGTTTCAGAATTGTTTTCAAGCAACTTGTGGAGGCCAGCTGAGGTCTTGCCAGCTGATCTAAGACTGTAAATTACAGCATCCCAAGAACACATTGGCATGCAATGTCCAATACCTGTTTGAAATGAAAATCTCAATATAAGTAAAATGTGTGGCATTTTAACACAACAGATACCTGGGAAAGTGCAATTCAGACTTTGCTTACTTTATATACTACAGAGAAAGTATAGTACAATTTGCTAACATCACTTATACACATATTATTTTGAAATATACATATATTGAGTGAAATTAATGTAATGCAGAAAAATTTATCACTAAAATGTATCCCATTGCTTATTTTGGAAAAATACGAGAAAATGGCATTCAACATAAAAATTTCATGCCCTTACTGGAGTTTATATACTAGTTAATGCAACTGAAAATAAGTAATATTAATTGGTATTAAGTGGTAGAAAAGAAAGCAGAAAAACAAGGATATGAAATCAAGTAATGCTCTAAGGTAAAATGGGACCATCATAATGTTTTCTGCTACATCCAATCACTGTTTTAGCATGTTGCAATCAGTTGAAGTGGGTTGTACCCCAAAACTCCTAAGAGGTTAAGGTGACCTCTTAAAGGAGAAATGAGGAACTGGGAGTTGCAATTAAATAAAGCTGAGTGGAATCAAGTAAAAAAATCTATAATTAGGTTTACATTATCCTATCTTAATTACACAAATAACATAATACCTGATAGCTAACCTTGGTTGTCAACTTGACCACATCTGGAATTAACTGGCACACACAAGCTGCTGAACACTCCTGGGAGGGATTTTCTTAATCAGATTATTTGGAGCAGAAACAAATACCATGTGTACTACACTAAGGGAGAAGGGTTAGTTAGGTGGTGACTATATGTCTTCAGCCAGCTGGTAGTGAAAGAGAAAGAACTGTCTTGTTTGACAACCCTCCCTCTATTTTCTTTCCGATTATACTGCCTTAAAT